GCCTCAAAGTAGAGTTGACCATGATGACATGCAATGGAATAAAGACATCAGGACATTCATTCACTGATAGGGCACAACTCAAAATGAAGAGAAACAGCTGTACAAATATATTAATATTCAGAACAAGAATTGCATGAAGTACAAATCTAGGAAAATTGGAAATTGCCAAAAAATGAAAGGGTACACATAAACATCAATATCTTCAGCATTAATGAGCTGAAATGTTTGGTATTGGCCATTTTGAATTTGACAATCACCTGGCTTACTATGCTGGGAATGACAAATTAAGAGCATGAAGTCACATGAATCATCAAAAAGAAAGCATCAACATCTGTCTGGAAGTACAATGATGTGTGTGAGAGTATAAGATCCTTACATCTACAAGGAACACCACTTAATACCAGTATTATTCAAATTTACACACCAAACACTAAAGCCTTCTTCAGTCTGAAATTGATCAAACATGCAATTATGATGTATTGATAATTATTGCCTACTGAAATCAGAGAATACCAGAAAGATGTTTATGTGTGTTTTATTGACTATGTAAAGGCTTTTGATTTTGTGGATCGTGGCAACAATTGGAAACAAAGAGGAATGATCGGTAGTTGGAAAATAAGGCATTAGTGATAAACAATGCTAGAAATCGCATGATAGAATTTTGCTAGACCAATTACTTCTTCATTGCAAATATCTTTTCTAAACAACATAAAAGATGACTATACACATGGACCTCACCAGATGGAAAATACAGAAATCAAACTGCCTACATCTTGAAGAGAGACCTTGGAAAAGCTGAATATCAACAGCCAAAACAAGGCCAGGGGCAGATTGTGGAACAGACCAACAATTGCTCCAATGCAAGTTAAGGCTAAAGCTAAATAAAATGGAAACAAATCCATGAGAGCCAAAATATGACCTTGAACATACCCTATCTGAATTTAAAGATCATCTTAAAAGCTGATTTCATGTATAAGATACTAAAGTGCAAAGACCAGAGGAACTGTGAAATGACATCAAGAACATCATAAAGAAAGAAAGTACAAGGTAATTAAAAAGAAAGAAGGAAAAGACCAAAATGGATTTAAAAGTGACTCTAAAAGTTGCTCTCTAGCATAGAGATGCTAAAGCAAATGGAAGAAATGAGGAGGTAAATAGAAAATTTCAACAGTCAGATAGAGAAGATACAGTCAAATATTTTAATGAAATGTGCAAAGATCTGGAGTTAGAAAACCAAAAGTGAAGAACACACTCAGCATTTCTCAAGCTGAGGGAACAGAAAAAAAAAAAAAAAAATCAAGCTTTGATTAGCAATACTGAAGGATTCTATTGGCAAAATGTTGTTGAATGATGCAGAAAGCATTAAAAGAAGATTGAAGGATTATACAGTCTTTGTACAAAAAAAAAAAAAGGTCATTGTTCAACTATTTCAAGAAGTAGCATGTGGTCAAGATCCAACCATACTAAAGGAAAAAAAAATTCAAGGTACGTTGAAGGCATTAGCAAAGAACAAGATTCTGGAATTGATGGAACACAAATTGAAATATTTCAACAAAATGATGCCATACCAGAGTCACTCACTTAACGATGCCAATAAGTTTGGAAAACAACTACTTGGCCAACTACTGTAAGAGATCCATATTTGTGCTCATTCCAGGGAGGTGACCAAAGCAAATGTGGAAATCATCAGACAATATCATTCATATCACATGTATGTGAAATTTTGCTAAACATAATACAAAAATGGCTGCAACCATACATTGACAGAGAAATTCTAGAGGTTCCAGCCAGTTTCAGAAGAGGACATGGAATGAAGGATATCACTGCTAACACCAGATGGGTCATGGCTGAAACCAAAGAATACCAAGAAGATGTTTACCTGTGCTATACTGACTATGTAAAGGCTTTTGACTTTGAGAAGAATGAGTATTCTAGAACACTTAATTATGGTCATAAGGAACCTGTACATAGACTCAGAGGCAGTTGTTTGAACAGAGCAAGGAAACAACAAATTGTTTAAACTTAGAAAAGGTATTCTTTCATCATACTTATTCAAACTGTATGCTGAGCAAATAATCCAAGAAGATGGATTATATGATACCAATCTGTGGCAACAGGATTGGAGGAAGACTCCTTAATAACCTTTGATATGCAGATGATGCAACCATGCTTGCTGAAAACATAGAGGACTTAAAATGGTTACTAATGAAGATCAAAGACCACAGCCTTTGGTATGGCTTATACCTCAGTATAAAGAAAATAAAAATCCTTACCACTGGACCAATCAATGGAAAGATTGGAATTGTTGAAAACTTCATTCTGCTTGGATCAACCATCAACAATTATGGAAGCAGCAGTCAATAAATCAAAGGATGTATTTCATAACAAATATGCCACAAAAGATCGCTTTAATGGGCCTAATAGTAAAGATGTCAGTTTGAGGACTAAGGTGCACTTTACCCAAATTATGGTATTTTCTATAACCTCATATTCATGTGAAGGTTAGACAGGGAATAATGAAGACCATAGAAAAATTGATGCATTTGAGTAATGGTGTTGGAGGAAAATAATAAAAGCACCATGGACTGCCAACATGCTTCTAGGAAGCCAGGATGGCCAGACTTCATCTCTCAGAGGGACCATGCCCTTGATAAGAATATCATGATTGATAAATTGAAGGGTCAGAAATTAAGAGGTAGACCCCTAACCTGATGAATTGACACAGTGGCAGCAGCCATGGATTCAAATATAGCAATGATTTTGAGGTTGTCACAGGACCAGACAGTGTTTCATTCTGTTGTGCGTAGGGTCGCCATGAGTTGGTAGCAACTCGATGGTACCTAACCACAGTGACAATAATGCTTTCAAATCTCCCAAAATTTCCACTTTTATTATTTTTACATGCTTCAATTTTTGTGTGTGCTGATTATTGTTCCTGTAAGAACTTTATATTTTCATTGGATAAATTATGTATATGTGAGTGCAATATTTTGAATGAGTGGTTAAAATTGATGCTTATTATATTTTTATAATTTCTAATAACTTTAATTAACCCTCATGAATTTACTTTAATAAAAACTGAGGTATACTTTATGAGAAACAATATGTAATATCTGCATTTCATTATTTTTGTTTTCATTTCCATTGAGATTTTATTTCCTGACTAATATAGTTTTTCATGTTGCATCAAAATATTATGGAGGATATTAAATAAAATATTAATTTTCAGTTTTATTTTATGTATTTAAACTATGCACATATATGTAATAAACAGAAAGAAAAATTATCACCATATTTCTAAGACTATTCTTTTTCTCTTTACCAGTCATTTATTCCACACAGTTAACAGATAGAGAGACTTCAAATTATTAGTTTGGATGCCCACATTTGTAGTTTATTTGCATTTAAAGGGAAGAACGCAATTTGTTTTTGTATATGTTCATTTATTGATAAGCATTAAGACTCTCTGCATCAATATTGTTTTGCTAAATCTCACTACTGTATAGTAGTCAAATGTATAAAAACACAAACATTATTAATTGTATTATTTAATATAAAATCATGTGTCAGTTTTAGCTTGTATAATGTAAATTTTTTTTGCTAATGTTGAGTCAATTTGGCCTTATGGTGAACACATGAGTGCAGCACTTCTGAATCAAATTTTCTAATCAGTCACTTTTTAAAAGCAGATTAGCACATCTGTTGTCCAAGGTATCTTTGACTGGGTTAAAACATCCAAGCTTTTGACTAATAATCGACACTCAAAAATTTTTGTTACCCGTATGCGTACTTATCCACTGATGAATGTAGACATCAATTTGTGTTGGAAACCTATAGACAATGGATAATACCAGTGATCAGATACCTAGGGTGTTGTACTAATTTTGAAGCTTCTAAATATCTCCACAACACAGTCAGATTTCAATTAGAAGTACATTTCCCATGACCTGTAAGGACAGACATTTACTTTAAGTTTATATACTTAAAAATTGCCTGTTGTTATTGTTGTTGTTGTGTGCCTTGGAGTAGGTTCCGAACTCATAGCGACCCTGTATAGGGTTTCCGAGGCTGTAAATCTAATTTATGGGAGCAGAAAGCGTCATCTTTCTCCCGCGGAAAAGCTGGTAGTTTCAAACTGCTGACCTTGCGGTTTGCAGCACGATTCGTAACCACTACGCTACCAGAGTGCAAGGAAATCATACCTTAACCTTTTATAAAGATAAAGGGAGGCTATGGCCCTAAGTGCAATTTTAGGAAGTATGAATATAACGAACAAAAATCTCACTCCATATATCCTAAGCTACTTCTACATGCCATGAAAAAGTTGTTCATCATCTAGGCACTATAACTGGTGATATTTGTGAATTCACCCTTAATTTAAACTTAGTGTGGTTCTGCAGAAACTCTTTAGAATGTGAATTTCGAGGTTAAAAAATAAATTGCATTTTTATAATCAAGATAATTGATAATGCAACATTTTTTATATAAATTTGAAAGGTATTGTTACCTTCCTTTCGAGTAACATTTTCAATTAGGAAAATTAGCCTTTTTGAACCATGTATCTTAATATGTTTTGTTTACCATATCTAACGCTACTCACATTAGTAGAAGTTAAAGCAATATTCAATAATACCTCTAGTTTAATTTTTCTATGCTTCTGAAAGAAATATATTCTTTGATGTTAGCTATGTCACTAACTGCAATTCATCTAAAGATTATCTCATCTTTAAGACATATCTACATTGAATATATTTATGAATCCTCGTGTGGCACTATGGGTTAATTCAGTGGACTGCAAATGCAATTTGAACTGCAAGGTCGACAGTTCAAATTCACCAGCTGCTCCTAGGAAACACTATACAGGGTGGCTATGAGTCGGAACTGACTTGATGGCACTTAACAAACACACACACACACACACACACATATAATATATACATATTTATATATATATAATCTAAAGTAAATGTGTCATGTGACTGAAGAAGCATGGGCTTTCTCTAATCATTCCAAAAAAATTGATTTGATTTAAATATTTCCATGTGCATCATTTTCCCTAGAGCAGTTTTTATTTCCTTATTTCTAAAACTGTATATGATGGGGTTCAGTGTTGGAGGTAGCACAGTGTAAAACACAGACAAAATGAGATCTAGTAGTGATCTCAAATGTGAGGGTGGCTTCAGGTAATCCAAGGAGGCAGTTATAATAAACAAGGTCACAACAATCAGATGAGGAATGCAAGTGGAAAGTGCTTTGCTCCTATCCTCTGAAGAGGAGGTCCTTCGGACAATGGAGAAGATGTGTACATATGAATAAAAAATAAATGCAAAGCAAACTAGTGCAGCACTGAACATAAGTGCAATGATTCCAATTTCTCCTATATTCAATCTGGAATCAGAAATCAAAATAATTTGTGGAATATCACAGAAAAACTGGTAGATTTTATTAGAACTAATAGGTAGGTAGAATGTTGCTGTAGTGTGTATTGCTCCAGAGATCACTCCACTGATGTATGAAGCCACCACCATTTGTCCACAGGCTCCTCTACTCATGATGATGTCATAATGCAATGGAAGGCAGATGGCCACATAGCAGTCATAGGACATCACTGTGAGAATAGCTAATTCAGCACATGCAAAAACTACAAAAGAAAACACCTGCAAAACACAGCCAAGGAAGGATATTGAGCTATTGTGCATCAGAGAGTTTAAGATAAATTTAGGAACGGTGACAGAGATGTAGCATAGATCTATGAATGACAAGTTCTTCAGGAAGAAGTACATGGGGGTGTGAAATCGATGATCACAAGTAATTAAGAAGATGATAAGCCCATTTCCTATCAGGGCTGACAAGTAAGCAACTAGGAACAAGACCCCATGTATGACTTGCATCCCT